AAATACATAAATAAATAAACAAATAAAGTTAGTATTAAAAAAAAGAAAGCCCAGAGATAAACCCACGCACATATGGTCACCTTATCTTTGACAAAGGAGGCAAGAATTTACAGTGGAGAAAAGACAGCCTCTTCAATAAGTGGTGCGGGAAAACTGGACAGCTACATGTAAAAGAATGAAATTAGAACACTTCCTAACACCATACACAAAAGTAAAGTCAAAATGAATTAAGGACCTAAATGTAAGGCCAGACACTATAAAACTCTTAGGGGAAAATATTGGCAGAACACTCTATTACATAAATCACAGCTAAATCCTTTGTGACCCACCTCCTAGAGCAATGGAAATAAAAACAAAAATAAACAAATGGGACCTAATGAATCTTAAAAGTTTTTGCACATCAAAGGAAACCAAAAATAAGACAAAAAGACAACCCTCAGAATGGGAGAAAATATTTGGAAACGAAGCAACTGACAAAGGATTAATCTCCAAAATATACAAGTAGCTCATGCAGCTCAATATCAAAAAAACAAACCACCCAGTCCAAAAATGGGTAGAAGCCCTAAATAGACACGTCTCCAAAAAAGATACACAGATTGCCAACAAACACATGAAAGGATGCTCAACATCACTAATCATTAGAGAAATGCAAATCAAAACCACAGTGAGGTATCACTTCACACCAGTCAGAATGGCATCATCAAAAAATCTAGGAAGAATAAGTTCTGGAGAGGGTGTGGAGAAAAGGGGACCCTCCTGCACTGTTGGTGGGAATGTAAATTGATACAGCCACTATGTAGAACAGTATGGACGTTCCTTTAAAAACTAAAAATAGAATTACTATATGACCCAGCAATCCCACTACTGGGCATATACCCTGAGAAAACCATAATTCAAAAAGACACATGCACCCCAATGTTCATTGCAGCACTATTTACAATAGCCAGGACATGGAAGCAACCTAAATGTCCATTGACAGATGAATGGATAAAGAAGATGTGGCACATATATACAATGGAATATTACTCAGCCATAAAAAGGAATGAAATTGAGTTATTTGTAGTGAGGTGGATGGACCTAGAGACTGTCATACAGGGTGAAGTAACTCAAAAAGAGTAAAACAAATACCGTATGCTAAAACATATATTTGGAATCTAGAAAAATCATACTGATGAACCTAGTGGCAGGGCAGGAATAAAGATGCAGATGTAGAGAACGGACTTGAGGACACAGTGGGGGAAAGGGAGGCTGGGATGTAGTGAGAGAGTGGCATGGACATATATACACTACCAAATGTATAACAGATAGCTAGTGGGAAGCAGCTGCATAGAACAGGGAGATCAGCTCGGTGCTTTGTGACCACCTAAAGGGGTGGGGTAGGGAGGGTGGAAGGGAGGCACAAGAGGGAGGGGATATGGGGATACATGTATAGCTGATTCGCTTTGTTGTACAGCAGAAACTAACACAACATTGTAAAGCAGTTATACTCTAATAAAGATGTATAAAAAAAAAAAAAAGAAATCTAGTCCCATGGATGTTTACCCAGATCCCCATAGGCTGGTAGCTCCTTCCCTGAGGAAGTCCTGCACTTTCTAGACCTACAGCCTGGCCCCCAGTAGATGCCTGATTCTGAATTCCCAAATTCTTTGGGGAAGCAACTCCTAGCCCCCAGTTCAGCTGTCCTGGGCTCTGAGTCACGCTAGGGCTGCCCTCCTGGCCTTGGGGCATCCTGGGCATGGAGAGGACCTCTTGTCAGGGCAGGTACTCGGGCCCTGCCGCTCTGATGGGTGGCAAGTGATGCACCCCAAAGAGGAGCAGGCAGGGAGGGAGGCGAGGCTGATGCTCTCACTTGCAGCCCAGTGTCTGAAGGTGGTTCTTCAGGCTGAAATGCAGATGAACAAGGACAGTGTGGCCCTTGGTTGCCCAGCTAACAGAGCTTCTCTGTGTAAAAAACAGCAAGGAACTATTTCTTCATGGTGCAGGTTTATTGCCATGAGGTGGAAAGCAGAATGTCATCTTAATTCATCAGGGAACAGGAGTCAAGAATGTGCCAGAGTGCCAGCTCTGGGCACTGAGCTGCAGCTCTGTTAGAGCCTCATCTAGACCTCAATGAATATAAATCAGCACAGAGGTGCAAGGCTCCACCGTTGGCACCTCCAGCTCCCCTGGCCAGCTGGCCAGGCTGGTGTACAGAGGGCATGTAATCCAGAGTCACTCTGGGGGTCCAGGGACATCCCCAAACCCATAGAAGAGCTACAACCAGGGGGTCTGATGGTTCCCCAGGGAACAACTTTTGGATACAAGGCTCTGCTTAATGACAGAAAGACCTTGGGGTCAAACATGGACTGTATGCGTATGAACATGCTGTGTTTGCGTGCCCTTGGGTATCTGCGTGACCACATGGACCAAAGGCCACGCAGAGGCCTTCGGTCACCAAGCAAGCCAGGCTGAGCTCTGGGATAGGCCTTGGCCAGTGGAGAGGGCTGTGTGCCCTTCACTGGATCCCTGGGCTATCCCTGCTGGGCACCAAGACCCTGGCACCTCCAGGCCTTCCCCGCTGACCAGGCTGCCACAACACAATGCACTCAACAGGTGGCTCGTGCCCTCAGCCTCACAAGGGACAATCTGGGTCACTGCCCCTCCCCCCACTCCCCAAGATGGAAGCCCCTCCTGCCACCAGTCCTTTCTGCTTCCTCCTCCCTGCACAGCCCTGGACTTCCTTTCCCTCAGCCCACCACCATCACCACCTTCCTCTCATGACTCCCGCAGGTCTCTGGCACCTTCATTCCACAGTGATCTCTCTCCTGGCCTTCCCTGTAAACCCTCTCTTGCCTGAGGACGTCGCTCCCCAGCAGCCCTCTAGAGGGAGGCTGCTCATCCTCCACTCACCTGATTCAGGAGGCCATCCCCTACTTTATCCTCGGAGCCCCAGCCTCCATGGGCAAAGCCCCTGCCTCTGGGCAGGGCCAACCTTCCACCTTCCCACACCCTGTTGCATCTTGGAATGGCTCCACCCCACCCTGCTCTCATCCTGGGGGCCTTCAGCATCTCTGTGGACATCCACCAATCCCCAGGCCTCTTCGTCCCTTGACTTCCTCATCTCCAGCAACCCTTGAATCACTTTAGGCCCCTGCTCCCTTGGTGCCCCATACCCAAAAAAATGGGCACAGCCCCCACTGTCTGATTACTCCCTCACTCCAAGGTGCCCGCCACCTGGCACTCACCTCCCAAAGAGCTCCAGTCTTCTTTCCTGTCCACCTACCTTACTCTCATCCCTCCCTGACACAGACTCCATAGGCCAGCACCTCAGACACTCCCTTCCCCACTTCTAGGACACATTATAGGGTCTGCCTCTAGCCCACGAACAAGGGGAGTCACTCTCAAGTGTAAAAGGAGTAGTGCCATGACTCGAGGTGCACTTTAGAGATTCCTCCAGCTGCTGAGGCATTTCCGCTCCAGGGCTCTCAGTGGTGTGGGAAGCCACTGCAGGAACCCATGGAAAGGTGAATGGTGATGGAGAAAAAATGGTGGCTGTTGGAGTGAAAACATGTGAACAAGCCGAGAACTATCCAGGAGGCCAGGCTGTAGGACTCTGAGAGAGAGAGCTCAAAGCCGACACTCAAACTTATGACTTGGCAGTTGACTTGACAGGAGGCACCCATCCCCAACAGACAAAATACAGGGGGAGGAGCCAGGTCTTGGGATTGGAGGGTGGGGGTGGGAGGAGAGTGAAGACTTCCGGTTTAGACACGTTGAGTTTGAGGAGTATGTGAGCTATCCAGGAAGCAGTTAGGTCTGAAGTTCAAAGAAAGTGGCGTGGGCAGGTGAAGACCCCTGACAAGTGCAAAAGGTCACCCAAAGAGAATACAGAGTGAGAAGAGAAGAGAGCTCAGGACACAGTCCTGGGCAAGGCAAAGAAAACACGCACCTGAGAAGTTATGCCTAAGAGGCTGGAGGGAAACCAGGAGAAAGCGGTGACAGGAAGCTGCTGGCAACCTCAGAGGGGCTAGTTACAGGGGAGAGGAGGGAGGAAGCCCGGACACAAATGACAGGTAAGGAAGAGGGACTGGGAGAACAGATACCCCTTCCAGGAGCCTTGCCGTGAAGAGAAGCAGGAGGATGGGACCATGCTCCCATCCTGGGAGGGGACACACATGGGTATGTGACCACGTGAGAGCAAGACCTGAATGCATGGGGTCTGCAGGAGGGGGAGCTCTTTAACATGCACCTATTCTCCACTCAGGCCTGGGGCTCCCTTGGGCTCCCTGAGTGTCGGACCTAAGCCCTAGACAGACAGACACCAGGCTGGCCTAGGGGCAACCTCTCAGCAGAACAGGCTGACACACCCTAACTTGTCAAATAGGTCCAAACCAGCCCCTTCCTGGAGAAGCACGGGTACTGACCAGAGCCAGGGCAAACATACCATGTCCAGGATGGACACCTGAGGGCACGTTTGGGGCACCTCTGAGGTTTGTTCTGAAACCTCCGAGCCAAGTAAAGACTGGCCACCCTCTGCCCTCTCAGCAGGAGCAGCACTTCCAGAGCTGCCTGAACAAGTCATGAGACCATTCCCATCAAGAGAAGCAGCAGATTTTTCAATCGTTCGGGGAAAGCAGTGAGTGGCTGAAGCCACCAAAAAGCTGGAGACTCCTGGGCATGTAGTCCAAAGGGTCTGGACCATAAGAAAATCAGTCACTTTGCAACATGGGAGAGAGGAAAAGATCAGATGGTCTTGAGTCAGACACACCTTTTGAACCTCAGCTCCAGCATCTAACTGCTGAGTGACCTTGGGTCTCAATTTCTTCATCTGTAAAATGGAGCTAATACCTTTCCTAGAATCGTTTTAAGATTAAATGAGAGAACACAGGTAAACATCAACCTGTCACACAAGAGGACTCAGTCACTGCATGAGAGTAGCAGAATTATCATTTCATCAGGAGCTGATGGGCAGACGGGCCCTATCACCTGCACTCCCAGAACCATGGCATCCCGTCACTCACCCGGATGCCGCGGCTATAGGGGATGAGCTTGAGAATGCGCAGGGACTGTACGCCATCGGCGATGTTGAGGTAGGGGTAGTGCTTGCCCTTGATCTTGCGGAGGCTGTAGGGGATGAAGATGATGATGATAATGATCACATCTAGCAGGTTGTAGCCATCCTTCCAGTAGTTGATGGGGTCCACGTAGAGCTTCATGCAGAACTCGGAGCTATAGATGGACACAAAGATGAGCTCTGAGACCTACAGGGGTGGTAAGGGTAGGAGGGTCAGACCAAGCTGCAGACCTTACCCCTGCCTGGGCCACCCAATCAGGTGTGTGTGTTGGTGGGGCGAGGGTGGGAGCGGGTGCTCCTAAGTCAGCCACAAGACAGAGAAACCCAGGCAGAGTCCCTGGCATACAGTGGACACAATGTGCCTGATTCCCTTCTCTTTCTGTGCCTTGCCTACCCTGTGGCCCCGAGCTTAGGGCTGGGTTTGACCCAGATAGCTTGGGAATGACTGACTGACCGATGGACAGAATGACTATTGAGGCCCGGTGGGAGGTGCGTGTCAGGCAACCCGGATTTCCAAAGAGAAGATCCCAAGAGCCTTCTGGCCAACCTGAATACCCAGACTTTTGGGAAAGGAGATGAACTACTCACACATCTACTTTATTTACTACTCTATTATCACACATACTTAAAATCAGTTAATTAATCTGCTTCTGAAGAACATTCTGCTTTTTTTTCCCACTTTTATACTTTATGAAACAATCTCATTCAAATTCTTCTCATGCATCTACAACTCCAGTGGCTTTGATTTTACCAAAAGGTACTTTTTGAGTCATCTAAGTTTTTCCTTATCATCAATGAATTCATTCATTGAGGAAGCTTTGATTAAGCATCTACCACATGCCAAGCAAGCACTGTTTCAGGCACAGGGAAATGAAACAATGAAACAGTCTCATTTTTTTTTTTAGAAGTTAATTTTTTTTATTGGGAAACCAAGGTAACAAACCTAAACTTATTGAAAATGAAATCAGTAACTAAGACTCTGCAGGCCCCATCCCCAACCAGCACCAAGGCCTCTGTTTGGCCTAACCCCAGTTTCTCTCGTCCCCAAACGAACAACCGTGTGAAGAACCTGGGGTCAACCTCAGGGCACACACTGCAACTCCCTCTACCCCACCCTCAACTGACACACACAGCCTGGATCAGCAGGCTGGGTCTAGGCCCAAGGAGGGAATAGTGAGGTTTCCTGGGTGGCAGGGAATCCCACCCCAACCTGGTCAAAATCCCAAGTTAGGAAAGGAAGACAGAAGGGAGACTGGCTTGCCCACCCACTCCCCTCCCCTCAGTCCCCCCAGACAACAGGCTCACATCCCTGATCAGTAACACTGTGATTCTGAGGTGTCAGTAGGGCTCCCAGTGGCTTCACCAGATTACTGCAAAGGGCCCAGGGGAGGGGGCAGGCATTTACCCTGCCACCTGTTCAGTGTTAGCCAGCCAAGCTGCTGCCCTCAGCTTGTGCTGTGGCCCCTCTCCCCTGTAGACACCCACGGCTGGGGACCAGGCCTCCTGCCAGAGAGAAATGAGTCCAGGAGGCCCTTGCTTCCCCAGCCAGGGAGGAAGGATGGCCTGGGAAGCCTGGGACGGCTACACCAGCTTCTTGGCTTCCAAGAAGCTCTTGGGATGTCGCATCTGCCCGACGCCAATGGCTACAAGAATGAGGGTCTGCAGGATAGATCACCACAGCATGCCCAGGAAGCTGACGGTCTAGTAGGGGAGACGGAAATGAATGTTTAGACAAATACATACGTAACATCAGACAGGAAGGAAAGTGAAACAGCCAAAGGGGAGAGAGGGGCTGGCCAGGGTGGGGAGGGGCAGGCATGGCAGCTACTTTAGAAAAGGTGCTGAGTGGAGGCCTTGCTAAAGCCAGGGATGGAGCCATAATAAAAACTGGGAGACTACTCCCCAATGGCGAGTACAAGGGCCTTAAGGGGAGCAAGGAACAGCAAAGCCAGAAAGGGGTGAGCAGAGCAGGAGATGCAGTTGGAGGGGCGGGCCATGTAGGGAGGGCCTTGTAGGCCTGGTGAGGGCTGTGAACTTTAACCTCAGCCTTGGAGGAGTTTGAGCAAGGGAGTGATGTGAACTGATTTACATTTTAAAGAGATCTCCGTGGAAAAGAGACCGTGGGGGAACTGGCAGGAGTAGCAACTGGGAGGCAAGTTAGGGAGGAGGCGCTAGATAGTAGAAGAACCATCATCCAGGCAAGAGACGAGGTTAGATTGTATTGGAGTGGGGGACAGTGTGGAGCTGAAGAGAAGAGGACAGATTCCGGAAGTATTTTGTGGGCAGTGATGACAGGACTTGCTGATGGACTCAGCGGTGCACAGGGTAGAGAGAAGGCAAGGAAGACTCTAGTGCTTCACACAGAGCAACTGGGTAAACGCCGATACCTTTAACTGAGATGAGTTTGGGGTGGGGTGAAGGGGGGCTAGAGAGAGTTTCTATTTCCATTTCTAGAGGGAAATAGAAAAGGTTTTGAGATACACCACCTTTTAAATATGTCAGATGCTGTCACTGGAAATTGTAACTCAAGCCACAACTATCCCTTTGGAAAACATGAGGGCAGCTGGTGGTGTTATTTGTCCTGTATACCTATATTTGTGGTCACCACATGGCAACCATTTACATACACTTTTATGTTTGTTAACTACAATGAAACATTTAATATACACAAAAAGGTATAAAGAATAATATAATGAACAACCATATACCACCACCCAGCTTAAGAAATAAAATATTACCATTACAGGCAGAGCCTCACATCCATCAGATCCCCTTCCCTTCCCACAAAAGTAATCCTGTTTTAAATCTGGAGTATGTCTTGCTCGTGTGTTTTATACTTTTACCACATATGTATCCCTAAAAGTACATAGTATGGTTTTGCATTTTTTATACACTACATAAATTGCATATACATTACAGTATTCTTTGGGCGATTTTTTTTCATTTAAAATTATAAGATTCATCCATGTTGATATACGTAAACCTAGTTTAGTGTTTCACCACTATTTAGCAATTCCACTTATGAAAATACTATAATTTCTTTATCCAGTTACCCACTGAGTGATATTTAGCTTCTTTGTAATTTTTTACTACTGCAAAGAGTATAAAAGTACAAAAAGTTTGAGTCAGGTTGCAGGGCCATTTAAAAAGTGGACTTAAGGTCCTTTGCCCCTGGGCCCTCTCCCCAGCCAGATCGTGGGCAAGATGGCTGGGTGTGCAGCATCCTCGAACCCATGAGCAGTTCCTCCGTGCCCCTAGGGACCCCAGCCCCTGCCACAGCAGATTCTGAGCACCCCTTGGGCTCCCAGCTGCTGGGCCGCCAGCACCAACTTCTGGAGCACCCGAAAGGGAATTCTCCTGTTTGCTAAGATGCTATTGTGCCTGGTGATTCTGACCTGCCTTGACTGCTGATTGAGATGATCTTTGCTGCTATATTCTTTATCATCTATGTGTGTTACCTGCACACCGAGATATAGGCTATCAACTGGCCTTGGAGTGATTTCTTCCAAACCCACACAGTGGTCATCCTCTACCTGATCACCTCAACCATTGTCCTTGTTGAGAGAAGAAACCACTCCAAAATCATCACAGGAGTACTGGGTCTAATCGCTGGGTGCCTACGTGGCCATGATGCCCACGTTACCTTCCCCTTGCGGCAGCAGACACAGCTGCCCCACTAACCCTGCAGATTGCCAGCTGTAGTTGAACTCCCTTCATTTCTCTCTGAAACCTGCAAATAACACCTCCATCGAAATAACTCTCTGCGCTTACAACACTCCCAACCAGCTCGTAGCCCCATGTTTTACTGTACACAGGTGTAGTTTTTCTCTGTTACATACCTAGGAGTGGAATTACCTGATTGTAGAATATGAGCAGCTTCAGCTTCACTGGATTTTGCCAAATTGTTTTCTGAAGCTATTGTACTAATTTACTTTAATATCAATGATGCTCCTTTTTTTAAAATTTCTATTGGAGTATAGTTGTTTCACAATGTTATGTTAGTTTCTGCTGTACAGCAAAGTGAATGTTATATGTATACATGTAGCCCCTCTTTTTTAGATTTCCTTCCCATTTAGGTCACCAGAGCATTGAGTAGAGTTCCCTGTGCTATACAGTAGATTCTCATTAGTTACCTATTTTATACATAGTAGTATATATATATGTCTATCCCAATCTCCCAATTCATTCCACCACCACCCTCCCCGCCTTGGTATCCATAAGTTTGTTCTCTACATCTGTGTTTCTATTTCTGCTTTGCAAATAAGTTCATTTGTACCATTTTTCTAGATTCCACATGTAAGCGATATTATAGGATATTTGTTTTTCTCTTTCTGACTTACTTCTGAACAATGCTTTTTTTTTTTTTTAACATCCTTACCAATACTTCCTACTGTTGGACTTCTTAATTTTTGTCAATCTGATGAATATGAAATGGTATCTTATTTTTCAGTTTGTCATTTCTCTAATTATTAATGAAGTTGGGCATCTTTTTATATGTTTAAATTGTAAATTGCCTGTTCCTAATCTGTTGCCAAATTTTCTGCTACATTGTTTTGCCTTTTTCTTATTGATTTGGAAGACAATATATCACATACTTTGAATCCTAAGCCTTTACCTGTTATATGTGTTTCAAATAGCATCTCCTACAGTGACTTATCTTTTCACCTCTTTAATGATCTTTTGATGAATAGAAATTTAAAGTTTTAATGGAATCAAATTAACCAAACTTTTTCTCCATGGCTTATTTATTTCCTACCTTAAGATACCTTTCCCTTCTGAGATCATATAAATCTATATTTTCTTCTAAAAATTGAAAGTTTCACTTTTCAAGTTAGGTCTTTAGCTGTGTATGCTGGAAGGTAGAGATCCAATTGTGTTTTTTCTTTGCACGTGTACTGTTTAATGAAGAATTTATCTTCCACCACTTATTTGCAGTGCCATCTGACAGGGGCCAGGTTTTCATACAAGCCAGGTCTGTTTCTGAGCACTCTATCCTGTTCCATTGGTCTGTCTGTCTATCCACGCATCATCACCCTGCTTTAATTACTGCAGCATTATAGGAAGTCTTATTACCTGGTAAGTCAAGACTTCTCCCCTTTTCACTTTCAAAACCATCTTGGTTTTTTATATTTCATTCTTTTATCTAAATTTTAGCATCAGCTTTTGGCGACCCATAAAAAAATCCTG